GGTGCAGCGCGTCACGGCGCGCACCCGGAACACCGCCTGCGGCTGGTAGATGATGTCCAGCACCTTCTCCGTCTCCACGCTCTGCCCCGCGAGGGTCTTCTCCAGCGACGCCACAATCTCGGCATCGTGGACGAAGAAGGCCAGAGGCACCGGCTCATCCTGCGGGAGAAAGAGCGGGTGAGGTGGCGAGGGGCGGCCCCGGGAAGGGCTCGGGAGTGCCGGGGGAGTTCGGGAGGGGGTCTCACGTTCTGCAGGAGGGCGTTGCAGACCAGCTGCAGCTTGTCCGGGGTGATGGTGACCGGGACGTCGAAGGGCGAGCCCAGGGACTCCCCTGCCTCATCCCGAAACTGGATCAGGAGCCGCTGCACATCCTCGTCCGGAGACATGTCCTGCGAGACAGCGCGCTCAGCGCCGGGAATCCCACCGGGCAGGGGGGACAGGCCCCCACCCGGGCAACGATACCCGCGTGGGGGAGAAGGAGCCGCTACGGGGGGACACGGCGTGGACCCCGGGGGAGGGAGAAACTCCCCGCACTGAGCAGAACCCCGCGCGGGACGGGGTGAGCGGGAGCCCTACGCCCAGACAGCCGCAGCATCCCCACCCGTCCAGCACTGCACGTTGAATTGAAGCAGTCCGGCCCCAACCCCACTCCCAATCCCGACCCCACTCCCAATCCCAACCCCACTCCCAATCCCAACCCCACTCCCAATCCCAATCCCAACCCCATTCCCGATTCCGCTCACCGCGGCCATGTGCGCGCGCCCCACGTGCGCCGGAAGGGGCGTGGCCGGGGCGGGAGAGGCCGAGCGCGGCGCTGCTGCCCCCTGGCGGCCGGAGGGGCAACACCGCCCTCCCCGGGCCGCGGGTTCGAGACTCCTCCGGGACACCCCCCGCGGTACCCACGGAGCGGGGTTTGGGGCCCTTCCCAAACACACCACCCCTGTTCGGCACCGAAACAACACCAGAACAGACCCAAGGTAGCCGAGCCTCACACTCCACGCGGCCTCATCCACCTCAGGCAGCACAACGGCTTAAGGAACTCAGCCCTGGGCAATATTCACACCCACACCCGGGGCCTCTCATCCCTGAACACGCTCACGGGCTGGGCTGGATCCTGAGTCGGCATCGCAGCAAGAACAGGGGAGGGGGAAATTCCTGCACAGAAGAGGATTTAAGCATGCACAGTTCAATATTGCACTACAGCACCAAGCCCTGCCCCTTCTACCCCCTTTCCCAGCCCAAATTCTGACATGTCCTGTGATTTAGTCCTTTAGATTAGATTATCAGTGTTATTCTGTATTTCACCACACTGCTATTAACATAATCCATTAAGAAAACATGACCAAAACCGCCAAGGACAAAGCATTCAGGGACGTGTTTCTTCTATAAATCCCAAAAGCTCACACTAAAAAAGAACAACCCACGTAACTTCCAAATCCCAGGAAAACAGAAAATCGACACAAATTTTAATATTTATATATTTTAAATCAAAACACAATTAAATAGAGTATGTTTTAAGTACATGAATGCTTGGGTATGAGAGAAATAAGAGGTGGTACATAGTACCAAAAACCTATACACAGCCTTTTTTTTTTTTTTTTTTTTTTTTTTTTTTTTTGCTTTTTCATAGACAATACAGTGTGTCTCTATACAATCGAATATTGCAACAGAATAACACTTGCTAGTCAATCAAGATATTCTGAACATTGGAAATGATTTTGAGTTCTTCTCATAGTGATTTCTTTGCCCAAGTTTGAGGAAAAAAGCAATCATTAGAGTTTAAAAAAAAAAGACCCAAAGTAAGTGTTGTCTACTAAAAATGCAGCAGTAACATAATGGTGAGACACTGAGTACTTCTGATACCCTGCAAAAATCAATTCACTGGGGAAAAAAAAAGAAAAGAGGTGCTGTGTAACATGGTAAGTGTTGATAGTGTCAGGGAGAAGGCCAGAGGTCATTAAAAATTGCTTTTCTTTGTAAACCAAACATCTGGAATTAGATACTGCATTGGTTGGAGGACAAGAAGCTGTGGAGAATGCAGCAATTACTTTTTTTCCTCGCTCGTGGGATGGAGAGGACAGAAAACGGAGCGGTTTCCAGGGTCCCACCTGCTCGGAGCCGTGGCTTGGGAGCTGCCCAGGTGCAAGATCCGAGTGTGCCGTGGTGGAAGCAGGGGGTGTGAGTGTGCAGGGCCAACAGCTCAGCAGGGAGGAGTTACACTGTCCAGGCTTCGCTCCTGATCCTTCTGCACTGCCCTCAAGGTTAATGTGGTTATGAAGTAAAATACATTTATCTTACAGTTGAATATTCATCTATTTCAAGTAACGGAAAATAAAACTTAAGAACTTCCTAGGTCGTTCGCTGCCCGTGAATTCACCCTTCCAGGTTCCAGTGGCCAACGGAGGGGACGTGCCCCAGGGCCTTTGCAATTTTTGTGTTTAAAAATTACAAGTAGTAGAACTAGAAACTACAGCAAAACCTTCCCCTCTTGCTGTGGCCTGTGTCCCATTCCAGACATTTTGCTTAAAAAGTCTTTTTAAGACAGGGTCAAGTATTTGTGAAGTCGATCACAGTTTCTCAGTGACACATTTGTAAACTGCATCTTCATCTCTAAAAACCATCATTACCGTGAATGCCACATACAACAGGAAAAAGTGTTTCTTCACTCTCTACAGTGGAGGTACAGGATTGCTTCTCTTTCTCGTTCTTCCTTAGAAATGAGGGAGATCTCGGCGGTTGGAGTTAACAGTGCTTTGTTTTTATTGGCTGTGTTAAAGAATCCACCAAAAGGGAAAGTTCACTCATTCTCCAAGTGGAAAAGCAGAT